AGAATATCAGTTTCTTTTAAATTCTCCAACAAGGGATTTTTTTTTTAAGCAGCAAAAACATGTCTGGCAGTTCTAAGCCAAATCACTTTCATTATTACTGGGGCATTTTCGTATTCTTTTATTGTAGTAAAATACAAATAAAACCTACCATCTTAACTATTTTTAAGTGATATTATTAATGTTTTTAATAAAAACAAGTAGCCTTAGTAATACGAGAAATTTCTAAAACATTTCTCTTTTCTAGGTACCAATGTAAATGTTTCTGCCACCTCAAGAGTAGTATTGTAAAGGCTTCATGCTTTGCCTACTTCAACTCCCACGAAAGGGGAACAAGCACAATTCAGGTGCAAACCTGGTTGTCTGAAAACCTATTTTCCATAGGCAATGTGGTTTAGATAATTACATCCACAGATCATTTTCAATGTCTAATTTTTATCCTCACATTTAGGAAATCTTTTGCTAAAATATTATCGGAAAAAGCAAAATGGCTTTGAGTTTCACCTCTTTTTCTATACTCAATCTTTTCTTTGAAACGTGGGGGTGGATAGGGCCAGGATGTAAAGAGCATTAAGGAGGAGCTGCAAAATGCTTAAATGAGCACAAAGAATCAGTGCTTAGCTCTTTGAATGATCTAGAGCTGACATATTAGAGAATCAAGCCTGTAATTTTCAGCTGTGAAAAACAGGTCTATGAAGGCAAAAACAAAATGAAGTTCTGAAAAATGCTCTCACTTCTTTGGGTTCTGTTCAGAGATTTTACCCCCAAAAATCCTATATGTTTTTCATTAAGGCCCCTAAATATTAAATACTAGTTACTCTCAGTGGCAAAGCAAAAATACAAATCAATAGTTAATCACATGTTAAAAGAACAGCAGTTCTTTGAAGTTGCGGTTGAAGAAGTTCCTGCTGTCCAATTAAAGGTAGTTGGGTTTTTTATTTTTAAGGTGGGGTTGGGGGAGAAGGAAGAAAAACAATGCAGAGGAAAAGCCCTTTTTTTAAAGATCAAGCAGCAAACTCAAGTTGAAAATTATGTTCCATGTACAACATTTCTCAGAAATACCCATTCTGGCATGTTCTAAATTACATGCCATCTCTGTCTGGGAATAATAAGCTAAGATAGGCCAAGCTCAAGAAGGGTTGGTGATCAAACATAAGCCAACTATGCTCAGGAGAATTTCTCTAGTATCTGCCTACAGAATGCAGTTAGCTCCGTTCCACACTAAAAATTGCTTTTAAAGAACATAGTTCAAAGTTTGAGTTTTTTGCTAGCCATTCACAGTAAAGTATTTGTAGAAACTTGATATCTTTTGACATAATTATATCAGTTGCAACATATGTGATGTTCATTCAACTTTACAAAGTACATTTTAATAAAAACTACACATATTTTCTGACCTCTTTAGAGCCTGGAGACTCAAAATAATTGTTACAACAGTGAGAAACATGATACACAAGCAATCTGTTATCAAACATAAACCTGGCTCTGATTACTTTTTGTATTTGAGGCTGACATAAGCGGTTTCCTCTGTCTGGAAATTTTAAATCAATTGTGTAACGGAAATGGTACTCTGGAGCCTATGCCAGAGGTAAGTTTCTTAGTCTCTCTGCCCTGTCTTAGCCAAAGCCTTACTTAGCACTACTCAACGGCAGCTAAAAATTTTCAAATCAATTTAAATGCCTCTATTCTTGCCAAAACCTCATGTCTACAGAAATGACTCTATAAATAATGACAGGTGATCGGTACAGATAAAACTGGACCTTTCAACTATTCAATCCTTGGTTTGCATTTAAAAAAAAACAGTTTATGAGTTGGTTTACTTTATTAAATTATGAAAGTAAATGAAAAAAAATCTCACCTTGTGATGCCCAAATTCATTCAAAATGGTTCTCAGTTTTCTGGTGTTGCTATGCGGTTTTTGGGCAGCAACAGCTGGATGGGGGTCCCGCCAGTCAATGGACAAGCGGTGATGCCAAAGGCGCTGACTCTCCAGAATGTGAGCTGATTTAACACTAGGATCAAAACGATGCACTTCACATCCATTGTTGGCCATGCTAACTTCAAAATGGGTATCATCGCTTCCCAACCTGTAAAGAAAGAGGATGGAAATCAATAATAAAAATATGTAATGTAGCAAAAAGTGGTGGATTGACAAAAGGGCTGTTCCAAGGCCAGTTTTCTTAGTTATATCAAGCCTTCTTCTATTTTAACACATGGCTAACTGTACACATTCAATAAACCTTCTCTCACAAAAAGCATTGTAGCTAAAAGCTTCTGGATAAGAGGAAGTAGAGAAATTATCTGCTAAATGCAAACAAGAGAATCACATGTTCAAACATGTAGAAGCATATCAAGATGGTTTTAAAAAAAAAAAAAAATGCAAACCACAGTAGCGATGAAACAAAGAAAACTATCCGCCATCTTAAAAGATTTTCTCTGAATATGTCAAAAATAAAAGCCCCAGGCTGAGATCCTTAGGGAGAGATGCATTCTACTAATGAGGTAATCCTTCTCCATTCTAATGGCCACAGTGCTGTGCATGCAGTTTGACTTAAAGACAACAGCTGGTTTCTTAGAAACAGAATGTATTTTAAAATAGTACAGTTAAAGAAAAAAACAACTATATAAGTTCTCCTGGATATAGTACTCAGGAAGCAGAAGAGGGGTCTCACCTAAAATTCAAAAAACAAGGGAAAGAAATTCTATTTAAGTACCCAACAGGTAGCACATTGTGTGGAAAATTCATATACCTACAAAATTTTAATTTACTCAGAAATATTCCTTATTTAGTGATATAAGGTTCATCACTCTGATTAAAGCATCAATTTGAATGAAAAACATAAAATTAACCCAGAGTTGGTTTTTTAAAGTGGTGATTATTGCTTCTCTGCCCAAATTCCTATAATTAAGATATGATTTAAGGTACCAGAATCTTACAGAATATCTGTAACACATTGGCCAAACCTGAACACATTACAGAAATATGTCATTCTCTTAGACTCTACTATTTCAACCTATTCTATAATTTAGAAATATACTAGCTCATTGGATAACTAGTATTTATATGGTTCTAGTTAACTAAAATAAGTCTTCAGTATAGAGATCATCCATATAGACATTCTCAATACTCTTATTTGACTTGTCCTCTCCTTTCACACCTACTACACTGCTTTTTCTCACTGGACCCATGGCATGTCAACCTTCTGATGTCCCTCAACTATAATTCTCTCGAATTAATTGGCCTAGAAAAACATTCAGCATTCCTCTCCCAATCCCTTCTATATTCTTTTCACCTAAGAGACTTCATTATCTATTTTCAACCTCCTATTGAATCCACACAGCTCAGAACATTGAAATCTCCACCTTACTTTTCCCCCAAATTTACCATTATCTAATCTGGCGCAGTAGATCGACTACCTGAGTAGAAGGAATGGATGTGACACTGTTTCAGGTCCTTGGTTATTCTTTTTAAAAGAGTCCTGAGAGTATTAAGGTGAGTGTCCTTTATGTTCCCCAGGAATCAGAAACTCGGGAGTTAAATACATAAAAAGATATTCAAAATCATTATCCAACAGGGAGAAACAAATTAAAACCTCAATGAGATACCACTTCAGGTCCACTAGTGGCTATAAAGTGGTTATCTTTTTGATGGCTATGATCAAAAATTCCAATAATAATAAGTGTTGGCAACAATGTGGAGAAATTGGAAGCCTCATATATTGCTTAGTAGAAATGTAAAATGGTATATATCCAAGAAAAATGAAAACAAATGTTCACACAAAAACTTGTACATGAATTTTTATGGCAACATAGTCATAATAGCCAAAAAACTGGAAACAACCCAAATGTCCATCAACTAACAAGTGGATAAATAAAATATAGTATATCTATACAATGGAATATCGTTTGGCAATAAAAAGGAATGAAGTGCTGATACATGATACAACATGGATGAACCTTAACAACATTGTGTTAAATGGGAAAAAAAAAAAAAAAAAAGGTCACAAAAGGCCACTTATTGCATGCTTCCATTGATATGAAATGTCCAGAGTAGGCAAATCCACAGAGACAGAAAGCAAATAAGTGGTTGCCTAGGACTAGGAGGCGGAAGTGGGAAAGAGGGTTGGAGAGAAATTGGGAGTGACTGCTACTGAGTACAGGGCTTCTTTTGGGGGGTGATGAAATGTTGTAAAAATGACCCTAGTGACCCAAAACCATTGAATCATACACTTTAAATGGGTGTGGTATGTGAATTATATCTCAACAAAGCTGTTAAAAAAAATAAAAAATAAAAAAATAAAATCAGAACAGATACAGGGAAAGTTTTTAACCCTCACCACTGAAAGCAGAAGAGCTGGAAGAAGTAAGACAATTAGGGTTTTCCCCAGGAGTTTCAGTAGTCCATTTTTCATCCCAGCAGAAATCAGAGAATCTGGACAAATGATTATCTATTATGATATAGATGATTAGATTATCTATTATCTAATTATTAAAGTTATTAGAATTAGATCTATAAATTGCCAACTACTAGAGAGAAATAGGTTTTTCAAAGTATAAATAACATTGAATAGTAGATTTAAAAATTATAATTATTATTTTTATTAAATAACATTGCATGAGATGCCAAGATTTCCTCTAAAACATATTCTCAATGGGGATGATCTCATCCCTAAGGGAGCAAAAACTGATTCTTGGGGGGCGGGGGGAGCAAAAAACTTACTCTTTTTTTCTTACAAACCATAGATACATGAAGATATACAGTATTTCTATCATATTAAAATTTCATGGGGGTCCAATTAGGAAAAAAATTGTCTAAATTTGTCTAGGATTTTCTGGTTTCTCATTCGTATATACTATGAGCTCCTGCTGTGCTCATTAAAATAGTATAAGATGAAAAGTTTGGGCTCTGAAGCTCATTCATTCCTCTTAAAATGCTCATGGCAACTGGAAGTCTCAGATTTTCTGTATAAAATATTGGCTCTTGTTGCCTAACCATGCGTCATCTATTATACATTCTTCTGTCTTACGCTGAGAATTCATGTCTTGAAAGCAAATGATGCAACCGCCTAGAGAACTAAGGAAGAGATGAAAAATATTTGCCTATGTATTATCCCTTCTCAAGTTTTCTCTTCCACTCTCACTTCTACCCCTGAAATACAATCTTTCATGTGAAGGATGAAATAGGTGATTTTTTTTCCACTTCATTTTAGCTACCTCCCGCAACCCTCACCCTCCCCACCAGCTCCCTACCATCATCCTTCCACTACACACACAAGAACATTTGCAGAGAGAGCCCTGCCTGAAGTTTTTCGGTAGATGGTATTATCCAAAGCCACATTTCTCTCTCCCTTTCTCCATAACATAACTTGCTTTTATAGTGCCTTTCCTATCGTAGTCTATTCTACCCCGTTGCAAAATTGAAAAGGATCTGATTTTAATTTTCAACTGAACTTTACACAGAGGGCACTTTTCCAGAAAAAAAAATGTCTTTTATATTAACTATGAAACAAAAAAGCTTCGACTCCTAGTAAAAAGATTTCAGACATCAGAGAGAAGGTGGACGTAATACCTGCTCTAGTTCTTGTGTGTGGAAGAAAGGTAGGAAACGGATCAGGAAGCAGGGCAATCAGCCTTTGGCCTCTGATCCTTATGTCCTCAGATCCCTTCCTCTCACTCCAGGAAAGTTACCTCCACTTGCAGCTGCATCCATCGTCCTCGGTTAGGATGGAAAAGACTGGGCATAGCAGTGGCATGGTCTTGCCGCTGCCACAGCCCTGGGGCTTGGAGCACATACGGCTTGGATGTAAGGGCCATATGGCCCACCTTCCAACATTCCTCCCCACCTCTCTCTCGACCATCTCAACAGCCCAAATGCTGGAAACCCAGGGGCCACATGTCCTGTCCCTGCACCTCATTTCGTGAGCTCCACTTCGGCCCTTGGGTTTTGTTCTTCCTTCAGCATCAACTGAGATGCTGTCAGCCGGCTATTTACCTGCCTCCCAGGCAAGCAATTCACCTGAGAAAGGGAAACCTCAGTCCTGAGTAGCAGTGCGAGCAACATATACATCCACAATCCAAAGCATTCTTTTTTAGGGCACAAGAAATATTATCTTTAGTTTCCAGTTTTTAATTAAGTATTTTCAAGTTTCGAATGTGTTGACCCTCATAAGCTATTCATTTCTTTCCTCAGTGGAATTCAACTGTTCTTATCTGTGATTACAAAATTGGTTTTGAATAGTGAACATATAAATGAAAATAAGAAACTATGTTTTTGTATGTAATAATCTGGAATCTTACAGCAAAACTACCTTATCTAATAGCTCTGAAGTATAAGAAAAGCAAAAAGGAATTTTAAAAATTTCTCCAAAAATAGCTTACCCGGTTTCATGTTACTCAGTTATAGTCTTTAAATGAAATTATTCCAGGGTATAAAATATTAAGCAAAATATAAATGCAGTTTAGAGCAAGAAAATAAGACCAAGATGAGATCTCCAATTTGCATGTGGTACTATGCAATTATTTTTATGACCTACTTTCATACATTTTTAATATGATATAAAATAAACTCTACTGTCACAACTTCCCATTCTTCCTACAATCTTGAAGCAGAGCCGGTGGGCTCCCAGAAAAAGAGCTCTATTATAAGCGACTGGCTAGGCAATTTATTTCCTAATCCTCAAGATTCCAAATTTAAATTACAGCATAACCAGCCTCCTTCCTTAGCCTCCTTACCTCAAGCAATTATTTACATAGCACATGTATACTGAGTGCCTACCGCTTACCAAGCTCCATTAATATATACCACCGTTCTTCATTTAACCCATAGAAGAATGTTTCTATTTTCCTGAAACTCTTATTTGAACCTTGTTTTTTAAAAAATCCACAATGACTGTAACTAAGAAGTCTTGTTTGGTAAAGTTTGACAATCGCTTCTTGGACTTTTGGCTAAGATCAAGTGTAAAGTCTGACAAGTAATGGATCCTCTATTAGGACCTTTGGATCTGCCCCTAACGCTTCCCATCTGGGATTCTGGTTACGTTCATGGGCCTGAATGTAAATCATAGAGGCAATGAAACCTACAGGTGAGGAACAAGCATATGACACTTGTTGTGGTTCCCAGTACTTTCTAAAGGACCTCAGGGACCTTGCATGAGAACCTAACCACCAGCTGCTACAAAGAGTCTATGGAACAGGGTGTTCCAAACAAAAATAACTCTCCTCTGCCTATTTTTGGAGACATGTATCATTTGTAAGTTCAGGATTGTTTAATTAATATTGGTGTATTTGGTGAAATAATTTCATTACTTTATATTCACCCTTTTATAAAAAGCTCTCTAAATTCATTTGTACATTTAAGTCATTTTCAGCCTGAATAACTGAATATCAATATTTCCCACAATTTTGACAAAATTTCATGATTTTCATAATAGTCTCCTTTCTTTCTTTCTTTTTTAATGTAAAAGTATACACAGATTTGCCGTTGGCACAAAACATAGAAATCCAGCAGTGGCCATTTGCCTTGGGTCACTCATCATAACAGTGTATAAAATTTCTAATTTATTTTTTCTAGGTGCATTCTTAATATTTTTCTCTCTCTTTATAATAAAAATGTTAATTCTAGCTGGAAATCATGGGCTTCACTAAGAAGATCATCATCATGCTGAAAATTGAAGTTGCCAGCTTACTACCAGCAGAATGGGAAAGAAAGTAGCCTTGACAACTTTGGGTGATCTGCAAGCAGCCACTGTTACATAACAGACAGATGAGTCTGAAATAAGGACAGGAGGCAAAGTGTACCACCTGTTATACACTGCACCCATTCATAACTTCGTGCTGATGAGAAGGCTTTAGTTATATGCAGAACTGTTTTTGCTTTCTTCTGCTGTGAAACGTACTTACCCTAAAGAATACAGACGGCACTGCTTGTTGCGGATCTGATGAGCTAAGCCAAACCTGTCATCGAGACAAACCAACCAGGGCTTCTTTGCAGGGCTGGAGTTGGTAGTCAGGCTGTCCGTGTTCACGTGATCACATACAATCTGTCAGGATTGGAAATCAATGTGAATAATTTAAAGTGCTGGATGATAAATGGTAGGTAGGGACTTACTGCTTCCCCGATCCCTAGAAACCATAACAGGAGAGTTATATCCTTCTCCACTGCTAACTACGCCCCTCCTCAGGGAAACACAAGACTGCTGGAAAATGTTCAGAAGAATTCCAAATACCAGATTATAAGTAACCTCGTGAAGACCATTAGCAGGTTCGAAAGGACATTACGAGCTGCCATAGCCATATGCACAGAGTGCGTAGGGGAGAACAAATCAGGAACAAAGATGGCAGGGAGGAGAGGTCAGGCAAGGCTTTGCAGAAGTGTGTTAGTCTTGGAGGGTGAACAGAGGTTGATTAAGAGGCTGAGACCAAGAAGGGCATTCCAGACATGGAGAACAATGCTCCCAGAACACAGAGGCCTGTTACGCACAGCATTCTCATCAGAAGTTGTGAGATTCATCCACGGGCGCAGTAGGCTCGGAAGGATACAAAATTATTGATGCTTTATCTCAGGCAGATAAAGTGGGGCCACAGTCCAGATGTGTTCTCCAAGGTAAACAGCTAATCCAGATCAAGTGAAATTAAACCCTAGTCTCTGTTTATAGGGCAGGACTCTTTGTGATACCATGTTCTAGTAAGTTTTCTCCTCAGAGAGAAGAGCAAGGGCCCCAGCCAAGAAGGAGGCTCTCCCTGAGCTAACCGATGCACTTCTCTTAACTCATCCGTCAAATTAGAGAAGGAAACCAAAGGGAATGTGCACCTAAGTCAAGCAGAAGCAAGCTCTAATTTCAAATGCACATTAAGTAAATGTACTCTGTAAGGAATTTTTGACTTGCGTTTGAGGCCGACAGTGTGAATGGCTGAGGCTGTTGGAACCAAAGAAAACAAGTTGATGGCCAAGGTATTTACCTTACTGAGCAACAGTATTTCCCCCAATCCCTCAAAACTCTCACAGTCATCACCATGCTCCACGAATCATGCAGCAGCTCTTGCTGTCACATCACAGACAACAGTCCATTCCACGTGCAAAGGATGTTTTGAGGTTCGTTGCTTTAATTCATTGGAAAACATAACAGCAAACAATTTTCTTCTGAAGAAGATATTCTAGGCTTGCCCAAGTCCTTTATTTTACTGACTTTCCAAAATTTTAATCTGAAAATAGTGTATTATGTGGTGCCTATTTTGCTAGGATTTGGACATTTTAGAGGAAAGCTTAAAAAATGAAACCCTATACATTTATATTCTTTTTTCTCTACCCAGTAACTCTGACTACAACCACTGTAAAGGAAAAATAATAATAAATGGGATTGAGTCTTCACCCAAGCAACTAGTACAGAATACATTTATTAACTGGGTGTGTCAATATATTAATTTATGTAATTCATTCCTATTATTCTCCCACATCTAAATGAAAATTATGCCTCTGCCTGCCCATCTCCTAGTCCCCACCCGCTCACCCAAGGGAGGAGAAGTTTCTAATCTAATTAGAGCTCAGTGTGTTCATTGGGCCTGTTTTTAAGAGAGGGCAAGCACATCCACTGGCGCTCTATTCCATACCCTGCCTCCTGCAAGCAATTATTTAGGCCAGGGCAGTTCTGTGAGCCCCTAAAGCATGCCTGGACCTCAAAGTTGAGCCATTTGCTCAAGGACAGCTTCCTAGGGTATTTTTATTAAAGTGGTATGATAATGCCCATCCGCTATTGCTCTTTGTGTGTACCTCTCCCTAAGAACCTCCATTATGACAGAAAGGATAGGGACGTTCACATGTTCTCATTTACAACACCCTCTTAATACCATTAGAACCTAACTCTGGCCTCTCCCACAGTGTTTCTCAAGGTGTGGTCCACCCACTTTCTCATGGACCTGGGAGGTACTTAAAAGTTCAGATTCCTGAGTCTCTTCCAGATCTGTAAAATCCGTATTTTTGAGCTGACACCTGGGCACATGCATTTTAATAAGCCTCCTCAAGTGATTCTTATGCAGTGGTCCTGTGAGTTTACTGAAAGCCCTTTGTAAAGCCCCAGTGAAATGTTCCGCCTGGCCTCCGCTGTGCCTTAGCAAATCAAGGGAAGAGGCTACTCTTGGGTCAGAACTCTTAAGTTGAAAACAGCAGCCCCTCCAACCTCACTCCTAACAAAGCCAGAGAGGCAGCACTGACGATTAGCCAGAGGCCTGAAAGAGTCAGGTAAATATTAAGAGTCAAGATTAGGGCTTTGAGGTTCAGCTGCTCCTCCTTTGCCAACACTGGGGAGTATGGTATTATTATATTAAAATGACTCTTTAAGCATTTCTTCTTCTTCCACAGACTTCATCTTGCACAGATATGGAAAGGCATTCTTTTCCATTCAACCTCTCTGTTAATATCCCTCTTTTCCTCTCCTAGTTCAAAAATAAAACACAGTGTTTTTCCTTTTTAACCATTTATTAACTATCTTGTTGATAGACATTAGCTTTTGAAAACAACTAAGAGTACTCAGTAAAATTGAGCTCCTAAAAATTAATTAAATATCAATTTTTCAAACTTTCTTGTTAATTTATGGACAAGGCTTCAATCACCCCTCTTGCAAGCAGAATAAGTGAGGGCAATAACTCCTACCTAAGCTTCAACTACAGGAATTGTGTTCTCTCTCTCTTCTAATTCTCCTTTTAGCCATATAAAAACAAATTTTAGCCATATAAAAGCAAAGTAGGCCTAGACAAAGGAAAATAGACTCCAGGAAGAAAATGTTTTCTAAAATTGTTTTTAGTTATTTAACTTACAGGGATCTGATTTATTTTTATTTAATTTTATATCCCAAAAGTTTGAATAGCATTTTTGCCAACCCTTCAATAGAACCTGGCAAAGAGAGCCCTTAAAATTTGGGGACCTATGGCAAGAATCAATTCAATGATCAACTGTATTTCGATCACCATTATTTTGAAAGGTAAAATTTCAAAGAAAGAGTTGTGTTTTTGTTGCTTTTATCCGCCCGCCCCCCATTTGTGTGTGTGTGTGTGTGTGTGGATGTGTGTGTATTATAAATATTATAAATACTATTGTTATGAAATTCTAAAGTCTGAATCTCCAGAGCTCGGGTTCTTATGTTATTCTCAAAAATAGATAGGTAGAGGATTAGAGAGATAGATAGATTTTAAAACATGTTTAATATTTCTTTTTTAAAACAGCAACTGTTGCTTAGATTAATTTTGTACTGCAAGATATGCTTCCTGGAAGCATATGGTTTGGGGGTTGCCATAAAAAGCTAGATCTGAAGCCTTCCCTTAGAACAGAGCACTGTTTTTATGATTTAACCATTAGTTAGCAGTGGTGTATCACTGCCTCTAGAATTCAGAGATGTAATCATGGTCTCTTGCATTAGAAAACAACACTTAAATTGAGCCTCATGTTCTGCACACTCTGCTCAAACACCATATCCTCTGGTGTTTCATAAAAAAATACAGGGCCCCAATCATGTCATCAGAGTCACTACAATGCACAAATCCAGGAGCACCATCCCGACTGCAGTCTAATGCCACACTGTCCCATGCTCTATGCTTCTGTGGCTGAGCAACCTCGGTCTGAGGAAGCTTCCCCACCTATCTGTCCATCCTGCTAGAACTCTCTCGCACCCTAGCTGTTTACCAAAGTGAGCGGGTATTTAATTCAGGTTTGAGTGGTATTCCAGCCAGTGTCCAGCGTAGTGCCAGCCATGAAACAGGTGCTTAACAAATGCCTGCTGAATTGAGGAAAGAATAAATCAATGATGAACATAATAGATGCCAGGCCTTGCTGTATAAGTTTGAACACAGATTTGAGGGAATTTTTTTTTTAAGCAGCATAAGAGGACGGAAGTGGAATTTGCTTTAGTACCTTTAGAGATTTAAGTTTTTTCTTCCTTGCCCGTTATGACTCACTATGCTAACTGAACATTTTAGGTAATAGTGACTCTAATATTCTGCCAGTTTTATATATTTTCAGTTTCAAAATGCGTTCTAAATGAAGCATAAGCCCCAAAAGCAGCCAAAAAAAAAAAAGCTCTGCATTACATAGAGATGGGGAGGGAGCACTGGCTAGTAAAAGATTCTGATTAAGAACAAGTTAGTGTCATCTCTGATGAGCTCCCACCTCCTGGCCTTCTAGTGACCCAAAAGCAAAAGACTTAACCTGGGTAAAATGCCCCTGATGAAAATGACCCCAAATTATCTCATTCTATCTCATTCTTTCTCGAGAACAAAAATCCTTCTAATTAGTTTCATCAACCAAATCTCTATTATTGTACTCATCAAGCCGAACAATCATTGTATGCCCATTTCTCTGCAAATGAGACACTGTATGCCTCATTTCTCTTGAGGACAGACTATATCCCCAGGGCCTAGCACAGTTCCTGGCATGTAGTAGGTGCTCAAAAATACTTGGTTAATAACAATCCTACACTACTGTCAACACAGTACAAGGTCACAGAACTGGGAGACACCTTGGAAATAATTTAATACTCTTCCTTTTCAAGATCTGAACAGCGAGAGACAGAAAAGCAAAATCAATTGCGCTGGGTCACAACATCAGAGCACACTGTAGAATGCTGTTCTTTTTTTTTTTCTTTTTTTTTAGAATTTTTCTCTTCTCAGCTCATAACCTATGGGAAAGACCCAAAGGGGTTTGGAATGACCCTTTCATGCCTCAAGAGCTTCTTCTAAGTAAATATGCCTTTTAGAAGTTACAGAACATTAACCTGCAATACATATTAAATGGAATTTGGATGCTTTCACTTGGTCAATTTATTTTGGGGGGTGGAGCCCATCATTCTCAAATTCAACTCATAAATTTATCATTTCATTTTTATCTGGGGCCTTTAAGGGCTTCTTAAAGTCACAGTTAAGAGATCCAGCCTCTTATTCTTCACATAAAACCAAACTATAAAAATTACAATTTCAGTATTTTAATTAAGTCTGTGTCAGTCCACCAAATTAATTTGCAGCAGCAAAATAAGATAAAAATTATGTAAAGCACAGGGACCAATTTATCATCCCATTACTCATGATTAATTCAACAAGCTTTTACTTCCATGTCTAGGTGACAAGTATTAAAATCCCTGATTGACTGCATCATATGAGAAATGAGACTTTCTTTTACCCCTAAATTAGCCTTCTAAAGACCTAAAAATATATTCTCTCCCACGGATGAAAAATGGACTTTGCCACCAGTGAGGTTTGGGAGGAAGAGTGAGATGCCAAGAGCCAATGGGCTGAAGGGACATCAAAAGAGCCAGGGTCCACAGTGCCACACCAGCTCCAGCGTGCAGTCTGCCAAGCAGGCCTATGCACCCCTCACGGCCAGTCTGAGATGCTAATTTACGAGCACCTCTCAGTTCAGGGAGAAATTTCCCTCCGGCCTTGATTTCTTCTCATGCCTCTCTCTCCCAGGATTAGTCTACTTGAAAACAGAATCTCCCGATTAATGTGTCAAGAGACGTAGACTCTCCTTAATGGACGGTCTCTCTGTCTGCTCAGGGCACTGACTCAGCCTGCGTGTGGAGCTGGGCAGGAGCTGCCACAGTATGTTAAGTCACTAACACAGGCCGGCGCTCAGTAATGATTTAAAGTGCCCTAAAGAACAGAAACCCTCTGGATTCATAAGCTTCTCCTTGGACTGCCTGCAAAGTGTCCTCCGCTCTCTGGCCTAGCATGTCCCTGTCTGTCAAGCATCTGTGGCAGAAAAGCAAAAAGGCAGATTCCTCCAGATACAAAAGGAAGCTCGAACCTCCAGAAGAGGGTTTTGTTTTGCGACACGTTTGACTACTAGTGGGCAAGAATCACTTCAAATATGGTTTTCCAAAGCAATTTTCTAAGGTGGATCCTTAAAACACATCAGGATGAATCATTAAAACATTTCAGGATGACAATACTTCTTGGAAGGGAGAGGATGCTGAAGCAGATAGATGGCATCTTATCAGCCTCTAAGTGAGTGGATAAATTCAAGCAGTGATGCCTCAGAAACCACGTCCTTATCAAGTCCCCATCAGGAGTGGCTGAGAACCTCCCCACCCCTTACTGAAGAATTCCTCTTTAAAGAGGGCAATCAGTATATTTTACATCATCTCCAAATCCTCTTGCTTCTGAAACACAACCTGGGTGGTGCTGATATATCTCAGGAACCTCAAGGCTTCTTCATCCAGAGACTGAGTAGGGCCTGCCCAAGGCTGGAGGTCTATATGCCACCGGGGACCCTGTGAGAGAGAAGACAAAGGTCAGTGTGCAAGGGATGAGGAATTTAGGGTGGGGATTGGAAAAGACATAGAGTATCAGACAGGCGACAAGGCGCTCTAGCAAAACAAACACATCTGCGCACAGGGGACAGGGAGCTGGTTCGAAGCTGCTGTCATTGAGGCCACATCAGTCACAGGGAGACAAATGAGACCTGAGAAAGCCCAGTACCAGGCTAAGCAGGAGATTGTAAAGGCCCCAGGGGACATCTGGTTCTTCTGATCAAAGGCAAACTTCACTTGACCCCATCCGGTTGGCTCAACTGCAGCTTTGTATTACACGGTGCTGCTCCCCATTGAGAAGAAATACCCCTTTAAATATCTCCTTATCTACTACGGTTTCCAGAGCTTAGTGCTTCGGAAATGCGTGCTTCCCTAAAGGCCAGTTTTGTTGTCTCAGCACCATCATGCCTGAAATTCTTGGGGTGCTTGGGCATCTTCCCCAGGACAGAAACAGACGAAGCCAGTAACGCCACCCGTTGTTCCAGACCTCCTGGCTTCTGGGACCTTGCACATGCAGGCGAGGACCCCGGAGTTGTCACCACCAAGGTGGCCTTCTAGCACCCAGAGGCAGCCCCTACCTTTCAGCAGCGGACATGAGGAGCTCCCATGAATAGAGTGGCTAGAAATGAACCCTAAGGGCTTTCTGTCGTAAAGATGGTGGGGTGAAGGAAGGGTTGGGGGAAGGTAGTGGTCTGGAAGAAACAAAAATGGGGACCCCTCCAGTCAAAAGGGAGTAGGAGTCATGAAGTCCTTGCTAGAGCTCAAAGTTCTCCACCTATAGTTCTTTTCCTGGAGACTCATTATAATTCCAAGGGAAGAGTATGGCCCATGGCATAGGGTGGGAAAGGGTTGGGGGCTGGGAGAAGCTCAGCTCCTGGCCAGGTGAGTATCTAACACCTGGAAAGGCTGGGTGTCTTAGCATAGGGATTCCTGCAGAGTGCTTGGGATGCACCCCAAACTCCCTCTTATGGTGAGGACAGAAGCAGGGGAGTGTTCTGGAGACAAGACACAGGGATCATTCACATATATTTATTGTTCCTCAGTTAGGTATTATTACAGTCTGAATGTTTGCATTCTCCCAAATTCAAATGTTGAAATCCCAATGCCCAAGGAGGTGGGACCTCTGGAAGGTGAGGGCATGGCCCTCATAAATAGGATTAATGCTTTTATAAAAGAGACCCCACAAACTTCCCTAGCCCCTTCCACCATGTGAGGACACACAGCCAGAAGTAGGAAGTCTACAACCCGGAAGAGGGCCTGCACCAGAGCCCAACCATGCTGGCACCCTGATCTTGGACTTCCAGCCTCCAGAACCATCAGCAATAAATGTCTGTTGTTTATAAGCCACCCAGTCCTTGGCATTTTGTTATGGCAGCCCAAACAGGCTAAGATAGGTATTGGGACAGGAACTGTCACCCAGAAAAGAAACACCTAAACAGTCTAGCCCTGAGATGCTTTAGTACAATTGTGGTTTGTTGCTCCTAGATCGGGTGGCCTAGGTGACTTGGGGTTAAACTGAAAGCAATGAGGAGTGGGGGAGCAAGCAGGTTAGTCAGTGTAGGTTTGGGGAAAAGGAATACACTCTGGAGTGAGAGTCCGAGATAACTGCAAACACTTTGCAACTGATAAGAGTTGTACCAGGGCAGGTTATTAATCATTGAACAGAGTCCCTGGGGCCCATAGTTTTGGCTACCAGATAGGTCTGTACCATCTTGTTGTGACTCAGTGCCTTGCGTCCCTCCATTCTTAAAGAACCCTCACCGATTTTTCCACAGCCTGCCTCTTTTTGGGAATTCTTAAGTCAGAGCCAGTTTCATGGGTATGCAACCTGCCTAGTCTTAGAAGGGCCTGTTCTTGGTTTCATGCTCTGCCGACGCTGTCTTGAAATTCTTAATGATTTTTAAACAAGAGACCCCACATTTTCATTTCGCACTGGGCCCCACAAATTATGTAGTCACGCTGCCCTGAGGGGTCCCTTTTCTTATGGCTGTTCTTATTCTTTGAAGATCTAACAGGCAGAGACGCTAGTCAGAGAGCCTGAGAACATTAGTTCATATACCTTCCCAGTTAATGTCTTCTCCCCTCCCCCTTATTTCTTGCACATAGCATCAGCCACTGTGCCAGGCACTGGTCAACACAGATATGAATAAAACCTGGACTGTCCCAAGAGGTGCTCACAATCTGGTGGGGAGATGAATACATCCAAAATAACTTAAAGAAATGCCGAAACACTAGAGAGAGCCATTTTTTTCAGGAAACTAATTATGAAATCATAAATGATAAGCACATTTAAATACAAACGCCTCCCGTTTTGCTTGGCCACATTACTTTTACATCAAATGACAAAGAGTGCCTTCCCAGGTTGTCACTGCTGTCATCACAGCAACACAGTGCTTCATGCGAGCCTACTCAGGCCTGAGGGTTTAAAGCTTCCCATGGCATCGTTGTGGGACCACTCACAAATGCCCCGGCATCTGGCCCAGGAGTCTCTTGATGAAAATGATAAAAGTTCACCCATTATGGTTTTCCTCTAAATCAGGGATCAGTAAATTTCTTCTGTGACGACCAAGTAGCAAATATTTTAGTTTTTGCAGGCTGTACGGTTTCTGTTGCAACTTCACACCTCCAGTTGTAACTCAATAGCTGCCATAGACAGTAAGTAAACAAGTGGCCGTGGCTGTGTTCCAATAAACTCCATTTACGAAAGCAGACGACAGTCTGGATCTGGCCTGCAAGGCTGTAGTTTGCTGAGCCCTGCTCTATTTGATTCTAAATTGGAAGCGGACCAGTCTAGAAGAGAGTGTTTACTTAAAATAATGTGAAAGAGACAGATTATGATATCTACATTATAACCAACTTTGTCATTTGTGTGACCTGGGCAAATATCAGTTAGGGTTCTGGCAAGATACAGTGGGATCCTTCCAACCGGCTAATTTGAGAAGAATTTAATATCTTTACAAAGGTGCGGGCAGAGTTTAAGGAAACCAATAAGGAATAATGCAATGCCTGAAGCTGGTAGCACCAGAGAGCCTTTATAAACTATAAGCTTAAACGAGCAAGTAGAGGGAGGAATTTTTGGAACCTGGAGAGAGAAACTGTATGGAGAAGGTATTTAATAGAATAACATAGCCAATTCTATCACATCCTGTCCTATCACCTACCAACACTAACTGTCAAACCCAACAGGAAGGCAGAGAAGATGGAGGCTGAGGTTGGTCTATACAGGTCAGTGTCCCGGGGTGCAAAGCAGGTCTCGGGGGGCAAATGGAAGTTCCCCTGTACTGCATCTTATGAGGAATCAATATGGAGAAACTATAGGGTTATCTCAAGGATCCACAAACAATACCCTACTTGCAATCTGATATTTCTCATTTCCAACTGAGTGTTGACCTCAACACGGCAGCTGGAACAGTGAATAACATAAGTTGAGGGGCCTCACGTGGGGATATAATAGAAACATACAGCAAAGAGATGGCCCCAGAAGTGCTTTCTGGCTTATTGCTTTGGTTGAGCTGTTTAAAAAACATTTCATGTAATGTTCTTATTGGAATCAATCTGACAGTAATTTGTGATTATTTCCCTAAGGAAACCACTAACTTTTATCATCTCTTTAAGTTATCATTTGTCTTAATACTGTAATGAATACATTAATATTTGTTCTTCCAAAAATCCCACAAACAATTCTCTAAGCCCCTTAAAATACCAATGGGCAGTATTTAATAGAACAAGGTAAAAAATTTAAAAAAATAAAATAACTCTTTTTTCTAAAATAAAATGTATCATTATGATTTCACCACCAAACAATTTCCTAAACTCCCGAATACACTCTTTTCTACGTGCTCCAAATATCAAGTGGCCAGAATGATGCTAACCCCAGGATGCTAACTCCTGGGAGATAGGAGCTTGGATTCCGAGTCCTGTCTGTGCCCTCACTACCTCTTCAGACAGTAAAGGAGCAGTTTAAGCAGAAGATGGTTGGAGGTAAACTGTCATTTGGGGCTGGTCTGTCTGTCCCCAGCAGGCTTGAGCTCAAATGTCAAATGAAGCATACACAATGAGTTGCCACAGAGAATCAGCCATGCTCCTGAGGCCCCTGCAGGGACTGGGGGTGGGGGTGGGGTGCGGAGAGGCAGGGGGCTCCAGGCCTTTGCAGTCAGTCCCGCCTACTAAACCACCAGGTCACTCATACAAAGGAGCCCCTCTCCAAGCATGGACCAGCATCTCAGAGAAGGCAGAGTACTGGATTTCTGAGGAAAGGAAGCAGCCCCCTCCTTTGTTTGTGAAGGCATTATCTGGCACTTTCTCCAGGAAATGTGCATTGAAAAGTGAGTTGGCTTCTTCTAATGAGGAGCAAATGTTTTGATAACATAGAAAAATTTCCAAAAATCAAAATTAAGGACAGCAAATGATTTTATACACAACAAACTTATGTTGTTCAGGGGCTGTTTTACAGACATCTGAGATTATGTTTCTCGAAGCTTGAAAAGTAGCCACTGAGTCAGTCCAAGCTGGTGCACGAAGATAATGGATTTGGCTCAAAAAGAATGCAACAAGCATAGCCATGAGGCTTTCGGATATTTTTATAATTTATGATTTCAGCATTAAATGTGTTTCTTGAAAAATGAAAGTGATTCTTTCAAGCCAAAGAAACTGAATTCCAAGATTTTACTCCTAAAAAATAATGCACAAAATAAAGCAGTCTCTTAAAATACGCTTTTGCCTACAATCTTAAACTTATGCACATAATAGGAATATATTAATTCAAGAGCATTAACTCCAAATAAAACTGGTTGCACTATAACAAAAAATAAAATTATAGAAAAGAGCAGACCCACCCATGACCCAGAAAAGAGAGCCACCAATACTGCCTTGTGCAAAAGCTTGCCTTATCTTGAAATTTGGAATAACAACTTCCTTCCTCACAAGCAGTTTCTCCACACCCTTTAATGACCTCACGAAACCCAAGCAGAAATTGTCAAACTAAAAACAATACCTCTACCGGTTGTACAAGCAAATTTCTTACAAGCTTTTTTTTTTTTTTACATTTTTTTGGTATAAAAAAAAAACAAATATACAATAAGCCAAAAGAAGGCTTCTAATGGTCCATTCCTCTGTGTTTCAATGTTAAAGTTCTTTAGGAATGGAATTGTATGATGAGTGATTTAAACCATCGGTTTTTTTATTGCGATGGATAATTGGTAGAGTGTTTGGGATATTTTCATAAAGTTTCAATACTCTCAACTGCACATTCCCACCGGTAATAAGGTCCTGAAAGGTTTGAGAACTAGCAATTTCTATTGGGAGAGACGGCTAATAATTGATTCTCTGCATTACGATTGTGCTCTTGGAAAAAAAACAAGGTTGTGAGTTCTTGACTCAAACTAAACAATACACTGAGTATATGTTGATGTGTTGATGTTGGGTAAGGCTAAGCTTTCTGGGAAAAACAAATCCCAAAGAAGCAAAATACATTTATTTAGCAATTTCATTGCAATTTTGTGCTAATTAAGAGCATCTGTTAGTGGGCAGGAAACAATGATTGAAGAAAACTGTTTATTCCTTTTTAGAAAAAGAAGAGGGTTGTGCAAGTTGTTGGGGGAGGAGGAGGCACAAAATTGTGCCTGGACAGGACATGAATCTGGCCACAGCTGAGAGTTTGTGAGCATCAGCCACTGCCTTTCTGGAATGCCCTTAGATCGTCATGGTTTTTAGGCCTTCGCTGGAGTGTGACCAGGGGCTCTGAAAGTCTCTGGGGTGGCAGCTCACATGCCTTCCCCACAACATTCTCCTGGAATAGGCCTCTTCCTCAGAGTCAGCCTGCTTCAAAAAGACCAGGGGTTGGTTACACATTTTGTGATAATAATTAAAACTTGCATATCCCATGCACAAATTTTATTTAAAAAAAGAATCTCAGTTTCCGTTCTGGATAAGATGGGTAAGCACACCTCCACCCCATGTCATCCACTAAATGCAGCAACAAAACATGGGCAGAATGCTTGCAGCAGCTATCTGAGGAATCTGAAAAGCTAATACTAGCAGGTAGATTGGGGGGAAAGACTAGAATTCAAAGTATCAATGAGCTGGCAATAAGGTCACCATTGTTTTTCTTCTGGTATGTTGTCTGCTCCTGCCTCCCATGTAAGGCAGACTCACACTGAAAGCAGGCATTGGCAGAGACTGAGACCCAGGGAAGCCCTCTTGTTTAGGCTCAAGGAAGGAAGGGGTCTCCTAATGCTGAGAGTGGGAAAAATTTCCCATTTCCCTCTCGCCTTTCTTTTTCTTTTCTCAATGCTTGCATCCCAAATCGATTCCACAGAGGTAATGGGGGGGCTACAGCAGGGGCCACAGGCAACTACAGCTCTGAGGAGAGGAGAACTTCCTCTCCAATCTGAGGCGGTGGCCAAAGAGGGCAGGGTGAACCCCCCTGAGTATATTCTGTCTCTCTTCTCCCAAAGCTTGGCCTTGGACTTGAGCACAGTCACGGGAAGTGTGCGGCAAAGTGTGGGGAAACTAAAGCCCAATCTTTCTGGCCAAAGGTTCAGAAAATGCAAGGAACTAGATAACACTGGGAAAATCAGGGAGAGGGAAAGCAATCTCAAAAAGTGGTTTATGAAGTCCTGGGCTCACCCCTGTGCTATATGTGCATTAATCTGATCCTTGTTAGTATATCAAAGACTTTGAGAACAGAGCTAACAGACAGACCTCTGCCCCTGTCCCAGACAGGCCAGGGGGTGGCATGGATGTGGGACAGGTCTGAAAAACACTGCAAAGGCTTTGAAAACAGAACTGATATTGAAGTCACAATCCACAGAAGCTGGCTGGAACTTGAGGCCTGAACCCAACCGGGTCAATTGCCTGTTAAAAAAAATATATCAATATATTTTGATATATTTGATATATAAAAAAAAATATCAATCTATAGTATTTAAACACAACTCAGAGTCTCATAAGATTCAAAATTTCCAGGAAACAATTCCAGACTATCCAGTATATAAAGAATCAAAAAATTCCAATTAATGTGAGGAGAAGACAATCAACAAATGCCAATGCAGGTATGACACTGATGCTGGAGTTATCTGACAAAACCTTAAAAGTGACTAACTTGAAAAATACTTCAAGGAGTAAGGGACTACACTCTTGAAACGAAGGGAAGAATAGGAAGTCTCAGCAAAGAAACAGGAAGTATAGAAAGCCAAATGAAAATTTTAGAACTGAAAAATACAGTAACTCAAATAACAATCTCCGTAGACGGACTCAATAGCAGAATGAATATGACATGAGTCAGTGAATTTGAAGATAAATCAATTGAAAGTATCCATCTGAACAACAGAGAGAAAAAATAATTTGAAAAAAAAAATGAAAAGAGCCTCAGGGACCCGAGGGACAACATCAAGAAGTCTAACATTCAGTCATTGGAACCCCAGAGGACGAAGATAAAAAATTCAGTGCAGAGAAAAACAAGCAGGTAATAGAATCTAGAATATAAACTATTTCCAACATCAAGAAGTCTAACATTCAGTCATTGAAACCCCAGAGGACGAAGATAAAAAATTCAGTGCAGAAAAAATATTTAAAGCTGTAATGGCTGAAAGATTCCCAAGTTAGACAATAGACCTAAACCTAAAGATTCAAGAAGCTTGGCAAACCGTAAACAGAAAAACTCAAAGAAATCCACATCCATACACATCATAGTCAAACTGCTAAAAACTAAAGACGACAAAAAACAACAAAAAAACTGAGTCTCTGTTAACCTTGTGATAGGTCCTGACGTTGGGCCAGGGTCAAAGTGGCTGGGTAGGAAAGGACACAGCCAGCCCATCCCACAGGGGAGCCCCTTACCCTGGGGTTCCCTCCTCATTAAGACCCGGTTCCACCTCCCCAAGTCCATCTAACTGTCTCTGGCAGCAGACAGCACACAGGCTGAAACCCAAATCCACAGCAGCATTTTGACTCCCTTCTTCATCAATCTGCTGCCTCTTCATCATTACAGTATAGGCCAGGAGGCAAGGGACCAGAAATCAAATCAACTCTGACAAGAAAAAATGTACTATAATTCAAGCAGGCCCTGATAATTTTTAGAAAGAAATTAAAAAGAGAAAGAAAAAAAACAAAAAAACAAGGAAGGACAAGAAGGATTAAACGTTCAGCTCTAGATTTATCTCTAAGTTATCCTGGTAAGTTAGAAACAAATGCCAAACAAATTTGAGCTAGGTTTTGTTCTTAAACTGACATCTTTAAATTCAGCATGTTTTGTGTGTGTGTCAAAATAGTCAATATGGTTTAGGTTTTTATTATAGACAGTAAAAAGAAAAGCCAAATTCCCAGAGTAGAGCCAGTGAAATGCAGAGGTTTGCACTTCTTTTCATGATGTGGAAACTATATAGCATCTGCGTACATAGTAAGCACTCAAATGCCAAATCATGGATCTCACTGGGGTAACACATCACCCAGGAAAAGGAGGGAGGAGTTTCATTCGTCTTATGAAAGTAAGATTATATAAGAATTCCTAAGAAAGCAAGTGGGAATTTAAAAACAGTATGAACCACATTTTTAAAAATTCTCTCTCTCTCTCTCTCTCTCTCTCTCTCACACACACACACACACACACACACACACACACACACACACACCTACACTATATATGCACCCTATTCAAAACACATAAGGTACCCAGATTTTCTGGGCCTCGAAATCCTAGAAACTTAACATCATCTGAATCAACATCAATCTGCTATGAGTTCATGGACTTACTTCAGTCAGAAAAGTCCAGCCAGTTAACAAGCTCCCAAACATTTACCGGTTCCCAAACCATTAGCTTCTTAGGATGCAAGGTCTGCAGCACCCCTCGAAACCCATTTCAAGGATCCTTGGATCTTGAAAGCTGCCAAAGCCGAAGGAGACGTGGAGTTAGCAGACAGCAGGGAGAAGAGAAAAACCACCTGGAGGGAGGGAGAAGAATGGAGAAAGGAAACGAGGAAAAGAGGGGCATGAGAGGAGAGAGGGGCTGCTTCCCTAATACCTGCACAGCGATCTCCATCCTCCCCATGAGGTCACCTGGAACTCAGGGTTGTCCATAGGGGGTACCCAGAACCCGCTGGTGGCTCTCAGTCCACATTGGTCCCCAAACCACATGCCAAACCATAGGTCTCCCCAAGGATTCCCTCACTGTGATCCTGAGGCTACAGGTCACATCCATGCAGATGCCCTCAGTGGGTTTCCCAGCCTTAGAGCCTCTGCTGAGTTTCCGAGGTGCCATGTCGAGCAGAACGCCTGTCAATGGTAAAGCTCAATGCTGCTGAGCAGTTCTACAGGAAAGATACTTCAGTGCCTGAAACGCTTGCTCACAATTCTGTATGTATGCATGCAGGTATGTATGTACGTCTCAGTTTTAGGTCTGCATTCATTCATTATTAACTAAATCTTTTGTCGTTTTCATATTATTCATGTTTTACACTGTCCATGTCGCCACTCTCCGGCCCTTTTGATAGTGATAGAGTATTTGGTAGCCTGAGTGAATCCTGCTGACAATTAGAGATAAGACTCTGGTTCTGGGACATTCTTCACATGATTCTGTATTTATAGAACATTTTTATGTCTGAATGCACTCTAAGTTATAGTGCCTGACAAGTAGAAGCAGCCCAATACATGTTCCTTTTTTGTCTGTGGGCAGCTGCCAGCAGTATAAAACAAGGCCCAGATTGCTGGCCGGACAACTCTGGGACCAAAAGCACTTAAGCCTCAAACCTAAATGGTAGGAAAGATCTACAATCTTTATCACTAAGTGGCCCTTTCAGGAACATGAAGAATTGCTAAAGGAAGCAGACCTTTTTGGAGGCCAATTATTTTGGGGTTTGCCGCTGTGTAACTCTTTGGCCTCCGAGTTCTTTGGTGGCTGAGAGTGAGAATCTCCAAGGTTAGGAGGGAAGCTGCCAAAGTGGCAGCTGACCTTGGCCCAGTCCCCTTTCCCCATTTCAGATGGGAAATAAAAAGAGTAAAGGGGACAAACTGTGCAAATAAATATAGCAAAATCTAAGATGATGAAAAGTTTTACCATATTTCTTAATTGTATGAAAAGGGAGGACTAACATTTTTTTGCATTAAAGAAAAACAAACTTCCTTCCACATGGAAGAACTTAAAAAACAAGCAGGTTATAGAAGCCAGAATAGAAACTATTTCCAGCTTTAAATTTTACTTGTTCTATATTTATAAAGAATCACTGTATTTAAAGAGACTTTAAAGATAATATAGACAGACACTTTTATATTATAATTAAAGAAAATGAAGCTCAGAGAGGTGAAATGACATACCAAAGTCATACAGGTAGGAAGAGGCAAGGATTTGACTCGGACCCAAAGCTGTAGGATGGTAGTCCTGCACTTGCTCTGCGACACCATGCTGCCTCCATCCCAAGCCTCAGAGTTTTATCTTCTCCATACCTAGTTTTCCTGTTAATATAGACAGGACATGCCTAATAGCAACTTCAGAAGGGATTCACAATGGCTGTCTTGCACTGACACATTCATACATGCAACAGGTAACATATTTATGAAAGTCTTTATATATAAGATATGGAACACACCAAAAAGTTTACCAGTGGCTCTGAAAATGTCATAGATGACCAATCCTCAATGAGTTAAAAAGGAGGATTAGAATGGATTCAGGCCTTTCTGATAAATGACAGTGATATAACTCAGTTGAGGAAGGGTCAACCTGAGTCCCTGAAGGACTCCGAGAAGCTGAGATCTTGCCTTTCACCCCAACCCACCCACAGTGGACATGAGGCATGAGCAAGAAATAAAAGTCTGCTATTTTAATCCACTGAAATTTTGAGAGTGTTTGTAACTGCCACACAATCTAGCCTATCTGACTGATACAGGTAACTAAAAGATGGTTACCATTATCACGAATGCATCCTCACAGAACCTTCACCATCAGTGATTAAATGGTAGGCCAGAACAGATCCTTGGTCTTACGGATATTCTCTGATAGGGAA